TTGCATTCTTCCAATCTGTCTTGGGATTCCGTATCCAGCTCCAAAAAAGTCTCAACCATGACAGCTGGTCCAAGGTTGTGCTCAAGGACGTGGTCTCTGCCGACAGCGTGCTGGTGACAACTCTTTGAATTTTCTTACAGCCCCAACTGATTGGATTTACTAGACATACATGGTTCTTTCCTATGTCCGCATGAGTGGTCATGACAATTGTTCCTGTGTGTGACTCTGGTTGTTTCTTGGAAGCGAATGATGCGTCAGAGAAAGCAAGGAACCGTATCTGGTCCATGGGAATTGGTTGAATTCTGACATGTGTATCCTTGTATTTCTTGGCTTCATGAAGAATTCTGTTTCCCTGGATGAGAGTCTCCACGGTCGCTTTGTTCACTTCGCTCTGCAGAAAACTTAAGCGGCTTGACAGGTCTGGTCTCGTGTTCACGGATGCATACTGGAGTGATCCTATCAGTGCTCTTAAGTCCTGTCTCTCTCTCTCTCTGTGACTGGAAGGTTTTCTTGTATTTTTCGTTGTGGTTGGATGTGAATTGGATTGATTTTGGAAACGTACTTTTCTTGTGACATGACAATTGAGTAGTCGTTTTGTTGGTGCATTTCTATTCCCGTAAAGACAAATGACTGCGTTTTACGCGACCCAAATGGGAATTTGGCCTCAAGCCTTTTGATCATTTCGTGAAAGTATTGGTTTCCTCCGCAAAGGCCGTCCGTCATCCACGTGTACCCCCAAGATACCCGCTGGCTCATCTTTTCCTTCTTCATATAGTAGGTATAAGCAAGGATCAAATGGAGATGGTATGAAATTCAGGGATCTCAATTGCTGGTCCAGTTCTGTATACCATAAGAAAGGAGCATCAATTAAACCATACGCTGATTTCACTAGTCTACAAACTTCACTTGGTTTGAGGTTCATCGCTTTCACCATTTCAGGGACGGGTTCAACAGCTATCAGTCTGTCTTCCTGTGGTTTGCCTTGTAGAAACGCTGCCTTAATGTCGAATGACATGAGTGTCCATCGCATGGATGCAATGACCTGTGCAATCAACATCTTTGAGGTTCGTCCTAGTGTAGGGCTATCTCTGGGGATAGTTTCTAGTTGTGGGTCCATGTAGCCCAAAACTACTAACCTCGCTTTTGCCTTTCTTGACTTTCCATTATTTTCTTTGATTTCCTTGGGGTCTTCTAGAGGTTTCCAAACATAAAACCATCGACACCTGAGGATCTGTTTTGGAGAAATCTGATGACGAAAAATTTTTGCTACTGTTCCTGTCTGTAGCCAGTTGTTCACTTCCTTATTTTTCGCATTTTCAAACTCCTGTCGTTCCGCAGGATCTAGAGTGCTAAGTTTGACTTCTGTTCTCTGTCTTTTTGCAGTGGTCGCAAGGAAAAGGAAAGCTTCTTCGCGATTTTGATTTTGGCTTTGCATGGCATTTGTCAGCTGTTCGGGACTGATTTCCAGTTCTGTTCGCCAGAAAAGGTCTTGTCCATCTGGTCCAATTTCTGTTTCCACATCATGGCACGTTAGGAGGTCACAGACTAGCTCATCGGCAGTATCATCAGGGATTGGAATTTCATGAGGTTGTCAAGGGTCTAGTTCTGGGATGGTGGTGTCGTTTTCAGTCTCTCTTGGTGTTTCGGCATTTTCAGGTTCTTGGTCAGGTTGATCTGCTGAGCTCTGACTTGGGGTTCTTTGAGGTGGACTATTGGTATCGTTAGGGATTATTCCACTGGGATTAGTGGGTACTGGGTTATTGTTTGTGATGGGATTATTATTGGGGTTGCTGCTTTCTGGGATGATTGGTTCAGTGGCATTTCTGTCCATGGTTGGGATATCACGGTGTTCACTTCTCGGCCCGTTGTCACCGGCAATTTGATCCAGGGGGATCAGGCGAGCTTCTACGGCGCTGACAGGTCTGACATGCTCGGGTGCTGCTTTGAGGATGGATCCCATATTGTTGCAAAACACTGCGTTGGAACCATCCTGTTGGATGACTTTTGCGGGGCCATACCAGGATCCTTGGTTGGAAACCACTTTCCACACCATGACCCACTCTCCAGCTTCATACGAACCCCTGTGTGGCCTCTCACGACGTAAGGCGGCCCTGCGAAGAGACATGTCATTATCAGCTGAGTGAAAAGCTCGGCGAGCTGTTTCTCGGCGAGCTAACATCTCCCGGAAACGTAAGCCCTCGGACGTCTCCTCACATGCTTTGGCATGTGTGGGTAGTTCATCATCGCCAGTTAGTGAGCCTGGAATTCTGGCGCTTTTTCCAAACACTAGCATTTCTGGGGAATACCCCTGTCGGATTCCGCATGTGTTTTTTGCTGTAGTGCACTGTGCTAATGCTTGCTGCAACTGTGAGTAGTTGGTGATTTCGTGTTCTAGTTCATACTTACTCAACATGTTTTGGAGCACTCCTCCATGTCTCTCTATGCGCCCCATCTGCCAGTGCGCATTTGGAGGGACAACCGTGACTTTGATCCCCAGGCCTTGCAGAAAGCTTTCAAACGATTTGGAGACAAACTCTGTCGCTGAGTCTAAAATCACTTCATTTGGAGTACCAGCCCAACTAAGCCATCCTTGAGTGAAGCGGTCCTGAATCTCTGCACGATTCGGAGCGACAACAGCAGAATGATAGTTGGTGCCGTGGTCTATGAAGTGGTAAAAATGGTATTCTCGACCATCTTTGTTGGTCCACTTCACTCCATCTAAAGATATCTTGTCTCCAAATTCTAAGGCTTCCTTCAGGGTTGCCGGTCGCTGCAGTTTGGGCTTAATTTTTGGGGGTCTGGATGGCCTAGGTTCTTATGTAGCCTTAATGCTATCTTCTTATTTCGGGTGACATGGCTAAGAACCGGGGACCATGGTTGGAACTGTTCAGATCGACTTGGCTTGGCTCGCAACTCTCGGATGTTGTTTCTTGGGATTCTAATCTGGCTGGACTTGGCATCGGATGCATTGGTTCAGGCATTGCAGCATCTACGGATGACCCATCCAAGGTCGCAGATTGGCTCGGTCCAGCTGGTTCCATTTCCTGAATTGCTGGCTTGGCAGAGCTTGCTACTTCAGCATTGGGATTGCAGGCAAAAACTGTTATATTTAGGTAGCTTGGATGCGATCTCCTCCACTGCTGCCTAAATGACAAATCTTCCCATTCCTCCCATTGATCTTCAACCAGTACATTTCGGGTGTTTCTCTGCATGATTACCGCACGGCGGTACGGGGCTTCTCCTCGCATGAGATCTTTTGGTGGTACTAACGTTCTTTCAGTCCCCTTACATGCAATTATTCTTTGTACTTGTTTATCCCCAAACATTTCTTGCAACATGGATTTTACTTGAGGGTCATTGATCTCTTTGCGTCCAACCTTCGGCATGATCTCAAGTACCCTGTTGCAAACTTGTTCACACAACACTTTTGGGGTATCATCACTTTGGGTCTTTCCAGAAAGTCTCCTACGTTTGGACGGCAACATTTCTGGGTTGATCAAGACACTTTTGATGCTACCCTCTTTCAGTTTTGCTCGTTTGGCACTTTGGACACCGGCAGAAACGGATCTTCTCTTGGCTCCTGAGCTTGCAAACGAAGGTTCATGCTCGGCAACATGCAGTGGTGCTTCCTTAATCATCTTGACTTTGGTAAGCACTTGGGCCAACGTTCGGGCAAACTTTCGGGTGTAATTCTCAGAAAATTCAGTTCTTCTCATGCGGTGACCTTTGAACATTGTTTCTGAGCCCTCAAGTGTTTGGTGTTGATGAAGGTGGTTACACTTACGACCGTGAAGTTGGCTGTATAATTGATAGGACGTGGTAAGGATTTCCATTCCCTTCTTGTACAAAAGTTGGTTGACAGGGTCACGCATGCCTCCTACTCTGCACATGTCGAATTGGGCAAGGTATGTGTTTTCCATTACTTCACGCAACATCGGAGACCTGGTCATGAGTGATCGAGCAGGTTGCTCCCAGTGCATGTGTCTGCCATTCTGTCTCTGGAAACGGAAAAGCACAATGCCCAATGCCAGTTGGTACATATGTTGCTCTCGGAGAGCTTGGATTGTCTTGAACCCTGCCTCAGTCTGCGCGGCATTCATTGCGCTCCAGGCACACCAAGGACTACATGTAGGGCTATACCAGAGACTTCGAGGTTGCCCCTCAATTAACTTGGTAAAAAGAACGGCTCGGCCGGATTCAGTTGCAAGGTCACCCTCTTGAAAACCATGCCTAACCCCTTTATACCCCAAGTTATTGACTTGCTTGGTGAGCTCACTCTGAGGTCCACAAAAGACTTCCAAGACTTGAATTGGTGTGCCTTTCTGTGAACATGATTGTGAAATTGACTTCAATTCGCTGGTAAACTGTTGAACCAGTTTATGGAATTTGTAGTGTAAGTGATTTGGCGTGTTTGTACTGAAATGGGCTTCTGCAGTTGGGTGATTTTCAAACTCGGCATCAATGTCACCAGCCTGGCACAACATCCAAAGAGCATGATTCACTTCCCCTGACGGAGATGTCCTAAGATCTCGCTGATGGCACCTTCCATGTTCAGTACTCGAGCTTGGAGTGCCTCGATCATCTCGTTGGTCTGGTCCTGTTGCAGTGCTGTGTAGTCCATGACATCCCACGGGTCGCTGGGATCCACAATCTCCTGGATCACCTCCACAGGCACTTGATGTGCCGGCATGGCCTTGCTCTTGGGCATGCATTTGGATCGAGGCAACATCACCCCTTGCAGATCTTCGGGGTTCTTCAGAGGCACCATGCCATGGCTCTCCTCGTACTAATCCAACACCTTTTCCTGATAAGCCAGTACTTTCAGGTGCTCGGGCTTGGTGCTGCTGGCGTGAGTCTTGGCGAACCATTTCATCCATGACTTCTCCTGATCCCACACCTCTGCAAATGTTTTCCCGACGTGAGTGCGACCAAAGGTGATACGATGTTGGCTAATGGTTATCACAGTTATTTACCTTTGCAACAAGGTGGAGAAACTCGGTTGATGGTGGCTTGGGCCGGGAGATCTCTGTACATTCGAAACTACACTCACTGCCCTGGCTTCGGCTGGTCATGTGAACATGTCCCTGTGTACCTGGGCCTGTTGGTGTTGAAAGTGACTTCAAACTGTTACCTTGACTTTCACTGAGGCTTGGCTGACACGTTTCAGCTTGCTGGTTTTCGCTGGTAAAATCACTGCTCATGAAAGTTTCGGCCATTATTGCATCACGAGGTCCTTGCAAATCCTTCTGGGCACGAAGCAAATCTATCAGATCAAGCATGTAGAGTCCTCTGGGACTCAGCTTAAGTTTGACAACCTGGTTCAACAAAGGACTGGACAACGTGTGATGCTCGCTGTTCAAACTGGCTTTGAGAGTCCTCAGGAGTGTGTTGGACAGCAGCAGCGGTGTTTCGCCAGGCACGATTGCAATCTTGAGACCCAGACCTACAGATTTTAAGGGGATAACTAAGGCATGTTGGCTATCCAAGGTACCTTGATTTCCGAATCTGAAGGTGATGTCACATGATGTCCTGAACACCTGCTGTCTCATCTCAACTGGAAGGCCCTCAAGTAAGGCAGGTAGCAATTTGCTACCCATCACTGACTTCGACGCACCTGTGTCAAGTATGCCACAAGTGCCATACGTGGAAAAATATGCTACTGCTGGCTGCTCTCTCACGGATGCCACAAAACGGCTCTCAGGTTGCTCTGTGATTCGTTCATTCCTGGGCAGGCTTTCATTCGGGTTTTGATTATCTTCCCCTTTACCCCGTTTACCCAACTTACGGAGTCTATTTCTTGCCAACTAGGAACATCTAGGGTTTCCTCATGCACCATCGGAAGCTGCATGAACTCCATTGGAAGCGCGTTGGGCTCTTCCATGGACTGGGACACTGCTGAAACGGTCATGGCTGCTGATGTATTTGTGGAACCAGTTGATGCATTCGAACGTGTCTGGTCGGGACACTCCGCACGCCAATGACCCTTCCTACCACACAATCTACAATGGCTTTCAAGGATCCTCTGTTGAAGACTTTTCTTGGAAACCTTGTTGAAATACTTCCCTTTGCCCTTTGATGCGGACGATTTGCCTGAACCTTTGCCTTGACCTACTGGCCAAAATCCTCTATGCTTGAAACGGTCGGAGAGTCTTCTCCTGGCATCTGCGTATGCGTTGTATGTGGCAGCAAGGTCACTGTCTCCTTGCAGCACATCTGCGGCCCTCGATTCATAATCGGCAATCAAGGCTGCATCTTCATCATCATCTTGCAGTAACTGACCTACAAACTCATCCTCGGTATATTCATCAGCTACGTCTGCAGACTCATCATGTTGAAAGTCATCTTGATCTTCAGTTAGCATCACTTGGGATTCATAAATCTTGCCCTTGGAGACCTTTTGACCAATCATCTCATTGAAAAATGAAGTACCAAGCATGCGAACAGATTGTGTGACCTTCTCCATGTTCAAAACTCCACTTGACGATGATTCACTCTCAACAATGACACGTTTCTTATTCTCTGTGCTCAAACGAGACCCTCTGAGTATGTACGATTGGATTTCTTCCAACTGCACCTTCTTGGCTAGAAGTTCAGACCAAACAACGTCACAACGGGCTAGGAAAGAATCGTTGGATTCATCTTGTTTCTGAAGGCAACGGAAAAGTGCTCTCTCCACGATGTCATACTTTTTCTCCAAATTGACTTTTCCCCACTGGCCGCCAAGGAGCTGGACCAGTAGTTGCACTCCTTTCTTGTCATTTGTCATCATCCACCGGGGATTGTTCAGCTGAAGTTTCTGAAAAGCAGTTCCACTTGTGTTCAAGATGAGGCGAGTAATCAACTCATTGATTTTTGTTGCAGGCCAAATCTCACTAAGCAGTTCTACCTTTTGCGTATACTGTTCTAAGTCATCCTTTGACGGATCGAATGTTGGCACCAGTGTGGCCATGTGATTCGATGAAGCAGTGTTCCCATCGGTTGAAGCTGCTGTTGCAGTCCCCTCAGACATTCAGAAAAACCACCAGATGTTATCAAAGGTCCCCTGGGGCTTTATTAGGTAGCTCCGCTACCAGTGTGAATCGCTCCACACTGGTAGAAATTCCCCTTCACCACCTCCAAAACGCTCGAGATCTTTTTCACAAGCAGCCAAGATGGTAAATGTTGCTAGGCTTCCAAAGCAGGAGAACCAAAGGCACTGATGCCACCGATAAATGCTGTCCTCAGCAAACCAGAAAGGATTGGCCTCAATCCTATGGCTTCAAGCGCTTCCTCAGCCCTCCCACCACGAGCTGCCAGTCAGCCAAAGCGGCTGAGGATTTCCACGTCTGGAGTTGGACCCTCATGGAACATGTATGAAAGGCTGTGCACATGTGACAAGAAAGCAAGAACATGACTGGGATCATTTGTTCATTCACAGTATGTATGTATGTATGTATGTATGTATGTATGTATGTATGTATGTATGTATGTATGTATGTATGTATGTATGTATGTATGTATGTATGTATGTATGTATGTATGTATGTATGTATGTATGTATGTATGTATGTATGTATGTATGTATGTATGTATGTATGTATGTATGTATGTATGTATGTATGTATGTATGTATGTATGTATGTATGTATGTATGTATGTATGTATGTATGTATGTATGTATGTATGTATGTATGTATGTGTGTATAGGTATATGTATATCGATATGCATGTATGGACATTAATATACTCGTAAAAATGTACATGTTGGCGCTCAATACATTGTGCGTTGCTTGGATATCTTGGAATGACTTGTGCCCCTGTGTGCCACTGTGTTCAAGCCATCGTGTGTGTGTGTGGTTGCCTCATACCTTGGTCATAAGTTCCTTCGGTTTGGGACATCGATTCCCTGTGACGATTCCAGGAGCGACCCATGAAAAGTTTGTGAACTTCATGCCAAGCCACAAATCATGATACCTGGCCGAAAGGAACAGGAGACTGCATCAAACAGGGCCACACCGCGACTCGAATGGCAAGAGTTGCAAAGTGGCTGTGCCATGTCCCCTCCGTGCCTTTGTGATGTTTCGCCAGCTTCAGTAGTCGAAAGACACGCATTAATCTCAGCATACCTTGCACGCGCAAAGCTGGGTGTTTTCTTCCCTTTCAGCACTGGGTGACTTGGTGACTTTGTTGACCTGTGAAAATGGAGCCCTGTGCCAGCAGTGTTCCTCCACAAGCAGTTCTGTCACCGGAAGCTGAACTCAGATTACTCAAACTCATGGTCATGGCTTGTCTGTCAAATTCCAGGACTAGCTCAGACTCACAATGGCTCAAAATGTTTTAAAACATCAAGCTACTTATGAGGCTGCTATCATTTTCTATCTAATAAGCTCACTCCGGGCAAATTTAGTGCAACCAAGCTGCCAAAAACTCCAATTTCGCTAAATTCAAGTGCCAGCTTCAAGTAGAAAGGCAGGACAGCGATCACGTCAACAACATTCAGAGGCTGTATCTCAAGTCAAGGACAGAATGGGCGGATTGAAGCTGCTTCACACAATATCATTGCAGTAGATTCAATGGGACTTTCAGGACCCCAAAATAGAGGTACGGATAGGTACGGTACCATAAACTAGAGGTACTGTACCATGTAAAGCCATATTTTGTGGGATATTCCCTTACATAGCCATATGGTAGGTACCTCCAATTTGGGTAATTACCTGAAATGGCCATTGATAGATTGCAGGGTAAATGGAAACGCTATCAGCTATCAATTGCGCCAGCAAAGGACTGAGAAGTGTCTTCATCTCTTTGATTGGGCAATGTATTCCTGCCGAGCCACCGCGTAGTGGAATGTCCGCGAAATGTAGCTACTCCCATACCGGGCATCAGTGTGGCAAAGCGCCAATCGCAGAGCATACTCAAGCGAAAAAATTGCCTTGGATTTCGGGTCAAGTCTCAATAGTTGCAGCTAAGGGTGATCCATCGCAAGAATCGCCTTGAGTCACTGGATGGGAAGGGAGTATCATGCGATATGTGTATATATAAAGATATATATATATATACATATATATATATATTAATAATAATAATAAATAATAATAAATAATAATAATAATAATAATAATATAAAGCATAGATATGCACAGTATATTCCATATATTTTCATATCATGATATATTAAGGGAATTGGGAAGATCTTTTCAGGTGCCAAGCTTCGATGCAAATAGCTTCCAGCGTAGAGAAAATCGGCCGCGGCACCTGGGAATGGATCCACCGGCCGTTTTTAGCAACCGAATCAAAGAGAGATCAATTGATCACCAGGGTCAAACTGCGAGGATTGAAACAGGTATCAAAACCTGATTTAACGTACATGATTAAAGATGATTATATAAAGATGATTAAAACATAATTGATTTGTTTCAAAAATGTGAGACCTGTGGGAAACCTCACAGGAAATCGCTGGAAATTGTTTGATCACCGGTGATCACCGGTGATCACCGATGATCACCGATCCGGTGTGATTTCCTCGAGCGATAGCGGCCAAGCCACGGGCTCACACGCTTTAACTGTGAGCGCCGCACCAGCTGCCAGCAGCTCTTGACAACGCTGTGGTCGATCCTTGAAGTTCCTCACATCAATCCGACCAAAATATCTCAAATCAAATCTAAATCAAATCATCAACTCGAGACACTCCTTGAGTATCCTTGAGAGTCACTCGAGATCACTCGAGACCACTCGATATGGTGAGATATGGTGATATCTGATATCATGCGATATCCCTGTCCACACATTGTCAATTCCATTCAATGCCCCACTGCCTGTGATATTGTGACATATTTATACATATTTCCCATATTGGCAGGCTGATTCATTCGATTCGCGCAAGCTCATGCCCGTTACTCCCCAGCCCCACACCCATCTCGGAGTCTTGCACTTGGTTCAATCTATGTACCTCTCTGTACACTTGCAGACGAGGCACGGCAAAGTCTCTATGACGAAGGACACCTTGGGATGGCAGGCGGCAGGCGGCTGACTTGAAACAAACCTCTCAGCATCAGCACAAGGCAGTTGTGCGCAGGTCCCTAGAGTACGCAAATCATCGTAAATCTATATCAAATGTATCATAAATATATATATATATATTTATATATATATATGATTATATACGTGTGCGTGTGTGCATGCATATTCATGCATACTTAAATATACTTAATGAATATTAATGCATACTTAATGCTTGCACATGCGTGTGCGTGTGTACAATATGTGATATGTCATGTGAATTGGCAGTGCTTAAAGATGCTTAAAGCACGGCTGAGATCTCAACAGTACTCACCATGATGACAGCAACCATGAATCCTGAGATTATCCGTCCTTAGGTTTCGTGGGTGCTTTTTTCAGCTTCTACAGCTGCTGAAGCATTTCTGCACATCCATCAAAGGATGCCTTTAGACTCGTGTGACACTCCATCCAATTGCATGACATTGACGTGACTGTACTGTATGACTCTAGAACCTCTAGATCACATTGTATGATATTGTATAACATTGTATATATGATATACATTGATATACTATATCCGCATCTACCTGCATTTATTTTCGAGACGATCATCTATGACAATCTAGGATGATCTCATGTCTGGCATTAAGGCCAGTTCCGAGAATGTAGTGATTGGAATCTTCAAGGAGAAGGAAGCCTCGGTCGCTGGGAACTCTCCGGCCCTGGCTGTTCTATATACAACAGGTAACATCGACAATGGCTTGAGCATGCTTGAGCGCTTCAGCCTCATGGACTGATGTCGCACTGTGATGCACTGCAGGAAGGTTCTAGATTCTAAACTGATCGGTTTCAAGCAACCACTCCGGCGCCAATTCGGTGGGTTCAAAGCCTAAGTTCCACAAAGTATGCCCTGAGTACAGGCAATTTGGACTTCGCTGCCAAAGAACCAACGCCAATTCATTGTATTGTCGAAGAGGCCAAATGCATTTCAACATGTTCGAACAAGTTGTGATCACGCAGCGACATTGCACGGAGAAACAAGGCTGCAGCATGCAATTTGCAGCCCAAGGTGCTGGATACCAAATCCATCTTCGTTCTTCCTCATTGCCAGTGGTAGTAGCCTTTCCACTTCATGTGCAGCAAAACTTTGACCAATGCCATCAACAATTCATTGACCTTCTTGCAAACTGTCAATGTGAAGAGATATGAAGCAGTGCTGAAGCAGGTGCCGAAGCAGGTGCCTGCGAAATGGCCAGCGTCTCTTTGGCTGTCACAATGTCTTCTACCGCTGCTTCCGCTGCCTCTGAGACCAGTTTTCCCCCACCCCCAAGGCTTCACACGTTGAGCTCTACCACTTGATACACTCATTCAAAAAGGCATCAAAAAATGTATCACAAAGCCCACCTTTGGCGTTGGGTTTGGAGTAAACTGCACCACCTAGCAGATGGAATATCAGCATATTTATATATGCATATTTAATATATCAGCATGATATGTACTGCGAAGATCTGCGAAGGCTGCAGGGTGGCTCTACTTGAAATTGAGGCGGCATGCAGCACGAGCCTCACTCATCATTTCCGGAGGAGTCGATATTGTATCGGCCGTGTTCAAGTGAGGTATGCCTCAGGGTCTGCCAATCTCTGCCACAGTTGCATCCTTTTTGCTGGAAATTTGATGAGAACTGAGTTCTGCGAATAGCTAGAAGCTTTGTCATACCTGCCATACCTGTCACACCCTGCCATACCCTGTGCGCCTTGACCTCTTACATTCCTTCCAGCTGGTTTTCTATCACCATGCCGGTACTTGCGAAGGAGGTCTTCAAGCCGTGCGCGTGCCTTTCGCAGGTTAGCCATGGTTAGCCAATGCGATACTTGGTGCTTGAAAATCTCCCGTTTTGCCAGCCTCTTGTTGTTTGCTTTCTTGGCGCGACGTCCATTTCCTCATGTGCACCATGAAGGCGCAACTAATCAGACCGTTCAAACTCCAAACATCTCGAAACCATTCGAAACCCTCCAGCTATGCAGGCTATGCAATGTTCTGCACAAAGAAGGCCAAGAAAAATCCAAGCCAAGCAGCCGCAAGCAGTCATAGTGCCACTGCTCTTGAACTGCCAGCGATGACCTCCGCCCAAGATCATCCAAGATCCACCAATCAAAACCAAAGTTCAATCATGTTCAATCCAGAAACAGGAGCGTTTTCCAACAGCAAACAGCAGAAAATCCACAAAGAGAAATGGAGCAAAAAGGTGGAATTGGTTCCATCGACTCCATCGACCGTCCAATCTCATCCAATGTCCAAATGCAAAGGCTGCCAAGGGACTGGATGAGGCCAGGTATTGCACCCAGGATCGCAATGAGGTTAGCGTTAGCATCTGAGTTTACAGGATCTGACCTTGGAGGTACATGACGTTCTGTTCTCCATCGCCGAAGCTTTGTTCTCTCGTGTCTGTCCAATTCTGTGCTGAGCTCCTGACCCTGAGGCCTCTTGAAATTCCGCTCGCACGGTTGCCTCGCCCTGAAGCAAAACCTGAGCCGCTGGGTTCACTGAGTCTTGACCGTTCTTGACAAGGTCATTGTATGTGTTTATTTGTTGAAATATAACGCTATTGCCCCAAAATATTGACTATATTACAGCATGTGTAAGTTTACTTATATATTAACATATAGTCATATGTATATATATATATGTGTGTGTGTATGTATATATATATATACATACATGTATACATATTATATATATATATATACATGTATGTGTATATATATATGTATACATATATATATATATATATGTATACATATATATATATGTATGTATGTATATATATATATACATACATGTATGTATATATATACATACATGTATGTATATATATATATGTTTGCGTTATTGCAAATATAACAAACATGCGTTTCAAATATGTTCAAATGTGTTCAAATATCACACAATGATCCAATGCCATTCAATGCCAAGAAACCCTGAACTCCTCACACGGAGGAGGCGGCTCAAGGGCCAAAGGTGGCTCTGCAACTTTTGCTTCTGGCCTTTGGGAATGACAACTGGTGACCGCGCTGCTGCATGGAATATAGCGAGCTGTGATAATTTGCATGGTTTAGCATGATGAAACGCAGGTCCTTGATGATGTGTACCTCAATATGTATGATAATATATATATATATGTGTGTGTGTGCACATGTAAACCAATGTATACACACATGTATATAAAGAAATAACTAGAATAAATAGAATTAATTAGATATAAATAAATAAATAAATAAAATAAGTAAATAAATAAACAAAATAAATAAAATAGATAAATAAAATAAAATAAATAAATAAATAAACAAAATAAATAAAATAGATAAATAAAGAAATAAAATAAATAAATAAAATATATAAGATAAGTAAAATAAATAGAATAAATAAAAAACTAAAATAAATAAATATATATTCTATATTCTATATTATATATTATATATTATATGATTATATGTTATAATGTATATATACATATAATCATATATATATATTATACAAATATATACAAGTAGATATGACATAATGATTCCAAGGTCCCAGCTTGGTGTGCTCTGCCCAAGTCTCCTCCACCTCACCTGGAAGTCCAAACTCCAGCGCACCTTGCAAGTTATAAGTGAAACTGCCAGAAACCGCAACCGCGGGAAGAACGGTGCAACGTCAGAAATGGCTCGGTCAAAACTGCACGTGTCAGCTGAATTGTTGATGTCAGGAGGGGGTGGAACATGGTGGAACATGGTGGAACATGGTGGAACCAAGGCTTAGGTGCAAGTCAGAAGATGTCAGAAGCAATGCAGGTTTTGGATGTCTCTTTAACCAGCTTGAATGATTTTGAATGTGCATTTACGTGCATTTAACATCATTTAACCTATGTCATCGCAGCACGCTACATGCTGGCACGATTTCGTCATCATTCCAAGCGGCTGAAAGGACACGCCACGGCATCCCTGAAGATTGACTCCTCATAGCGCAATGGGACAACCCGCATCCCGAGGTGAGATGGCAAAGGAAAACCAACAGACTTAGGTCAAATGCGCAAGCCATGCGCAAGCCATGCGCAAGCCATGCGCAAGCCATGCGCAAGCTATTCGCAAGTGCTCTCCAAAAGCTGCCTGTTGCAAACCACCTCACCCTTCCTTGCCCAACAACCCCGGCCAACTTCATGAAGATTCATGAAGTGTCTCCCTTTATATCATTTTATAAATATTTTATATCCCTTTATCTGACTTTGAAGTCATGCTCTCAGCCAAGAGGCAATGGCTGTCTCTGCATGTCTAGCACGCTGCTCCTGAACTGCCAGCCTTGAAAGTCGCCACTGTAGGAGGCTTCGGTTGCTGTGAATGAACTACAGCTGGAAGTACACCCAACCCCACCGAAATGTAACATCAGATCATGTCAAATCAAATGCATCGTAAATCATCGTAAATCTATCATAATCTATCTTCGAAAGCTATCTAAACCTTAAAAACCTAAAGTCTTCGCATCAAAAGTGCGGCCGGGCAACAACGATTTCAGTTGTTCATGCAGCTTTGCTGCATGCTCGTGCAGGGCTACACTGATCTGATCCGAGAGCTGGTGGAGAAGGCCTGCACCAAAATCACCAAAGGACAGCTGTTCTGCAAGACTCATCTTGACATAAAATAGATTTGAGAAGATTGATGATATCAAATTAAAGAACATTTTCCAATACATTCCAATAGATACATTCTTACGTTTATAGATTATTATAGATTATAGATGACATAGTCATAGATATTGATGCCTGTGCGTGATTCTCTACGCTACTTGCTTATGGAATTGACATAGTGACATAATTAATTTTCGAATCTAGATACACGTATGTGGATGTGAGATGTGTGAGTTTGCTTCGGTGTTTCTTTGTTCTGTGAGGTTGCCTTCCTTTGCAACTTCCAGTTGAGCTCCGGTCAATTCTTTCCTCAGTGCACATTGCCGCACTAGGCCACGAAAGGAAACATCTGCCTCCAT